CCCAAACATATTTTACTTCAAACTAGCTAGTAGTCAAGTAGATTATGAGAATTTGAGAAAAACAGAAAGTTCTGGGGTCCTAACAAGAAGCCAAAAATGGGATGCAAAAGGGAAAAGAGACATTGACCTTGAAATAGAAGGGAAGTATAAAGACAAATATGAGGAAGTATGGAAATTAGTAGGCATCATTAATATTCCAGTAGATGATAAGGCAAATTACAACATGCAGAAGGTATTTGTTCTGAAAGCTAGCAGAAGTGGTATGGATAAAATATGGCATACATATTATGAGGTTAATATGTTTTAAATGAGAACAAGTATGTCTTCTATACATTGAATTTTAACTTCAATGATATAGAAATAGCTACTTACAGCATTTGTTTTGTAAATAAACTATATATAGTATAGTATATACTTATCATATATGCACTAACTACCCTATTTACCCAATATTTTACTATAAAAAATACACACATACACACACATACACACACATTATATATATATGTTGTTATATAGCACACTAAATGAAATGTCAGAAAACACGGTACCCAATGGTTACATGTTTTTGCAACATGGTAGAACGTTATAGTCTCATATTGCCACACAATCTGCTGTATCTCCCCTGATAATTCACATGGTCATAATCTCGGATGGGATTGGCATATTCATTTTGATGCCCATTCATGCTTTCTTGAAAAAGAAGGCGACTCTGTTTCTAAACCAGAAACAGAAATTGGGATCTCATTAGGAGCTAGAAGGCTTTAAGCAAGGATGTTTCTCAGGGTTTGGATAGATACAAGCCCAGATGGACCTGAAGTAATCCTGTGAAATAAAATCTTCCTTTTATCCTGGCAAAACCATGGGGGCTCTCCCTCGAGCTGTCATGAGTCCTGTGCCTACTGACAGTTTTTAGTGTGGGGTTGTTTTATACCATACTCTTATACCATAACATTTTCCCAGATAAAAGTGTAAAATTTAATGCTTTAAAAAAATTCACCACTGTCTAATTCTAGAACATTTTTTTTTACCCCAAAGAAGCCTCATTTCTGTTAGCAGCATCTTCCTTTGCCCTACCTTCTAAAAGGCACAAGTTAATTTTCTTTTCCAAGAGCCTATTTCACATTTCATAGATTATTGTTCACCTTTGTTTCATGTCTGGATCCATTCATTTAACCTGTTTCCCGTTTCATCCATGTTCTGTCATGAAACGGTACCTCAGTCCTGTGTATTCCTGACCAAGAGTCCATTTTGTGGATATGCCAAACTATCCGTTCGTTTGATGGGTGTTTGGGTTAGTTCCACTGGCTTCTGCTATTATAAGAAAAATGTTGCTGTGACCACTCTTGTTCAGGTTTTTGTGTTGACCAATGTTTTATAACCCAGATAATGTTCAAGAATACACAACAGTGGTTCTTCCACCAAGGCTCCTCTGTAGCCATGGTTCCTTGAAAGGCTACCTTGGTTGCTCTGATACGTCATGGGTAGAACTTGTTGGACTTGCGAGATGCCATGAGTCAGGCAGACCCTCAACGAGTACCATGTCTGTCACTCTATCTCCAGGGTACCTGTCTAGTCTTTGAGTGACTCATGATGGCTGGGTGCTCAGAGAAGAGTTTACTTTGTTTGAGACGTCTGCCTCTGCGGCTTAGCAAGTTACAGTGCTCCCAAATTTCACATGTTTTATCTGAGTGTTGGCAATAATAATAGCCACCTCGCTGAGTTCATTTGACGGTGAGAGATAGTGTCTATGATGTACATTACTCAAAGCAGGGGCTCAGCTAACATATGTTTATGACATTGGCCAATGCTGTGTAGTATGACAGTTAAAGAAATTGAGGGCACAAATTAGGGGCAGTAGGACATTATTCCTTTCATAAGCATCGAGTTGGTTTTCTAGGGATGCCACAAAAATCACCACACAGAGATGTGGTGAGCTACACAGCAGCAGAAATGTATTGTCTGGCAATTGTGGAGGCTGGGTGTCCAAAAGCAAGGTGTCAGTGTGTTCAGGTTCACTTGAGTTCTTTCTCCTTGGCTTGCAGGTGAATGATCCTTGCTACCCCAAAGGTCTTGTTTTAATTTACCCCTTAAAAGTCACTATCTCCAAGTATCATCATAGTCTGATGTAAGGTTAGAGTTCACCAAGTGAATTTGGGGTCAGGATTCAGAGTAGGAAATAGCTAGGCAATGTCCCTACACTGGGAACAAAAGAGAAAGTCTAAGCCTTGCTCACTGGAACCCAGTAAACAGATTAGTTATATAATGTCTTTCCTCTGCTTACCCTGTTCCTAGTCTTACAATTGAACTTGCAATCTTTGCAATTGTGAAATGAAATATACAGTCAATATGTTGACCACCTCAGAGTCATAGTTCTGTCAGCTGAGATGTTCTCCATCTTTGTCAGCCAATAAAGAAAAAGGAAAAGTTACCAGATTCCATTTGGAAACAGGAAATGGGCAAGCCAGGAATCCCAGGAAGTAAGGATAAAATTGAGACAAAATTAGTGAGTAATTGAGATATGTGTTTTTTCTTCCTTCCTTCTTTCTTTCTTAATTAATTAGTGTGTGTGTGTGTGTGTGTGTGTGTGTGTCACACTTATTATAGCATGTATGCAGGAGTCAGAGGACAGTCCCTGGCAGTGAGTTCCATCCTTTAACCAGGTATATCCTGAGGACTGAACTCACCAGGCTGGTGGGAGGCACCTACTGAGACATCTCAGTAACCCACTGCTTGTGTTTAGGTTTCTCTTTATTTTTGTGACGCAGCTTGTCAACCTCCAAATGAGTGAGCCCCACACTCACTGAAAATCCATTTGCCCGTGTTCAGAGCTTGTCCTATCCCTTTCTTACACTCTCGCTCTTTCCTGTGTTTGCTCACTGTTTTCCGGAGCAAAACATAAAGGCACAAGGTTGAGAGTTACTGAATACTGATTCGACACTCTACATGGGTCCTCCTTTGAGTCTCACAACAGCTTGACTTTGCCTTTTTTTTTTTTTTTTTTTTTTTTTTGGCTTTATTTTGGAGAAACCCGATCCCACGGTGACTCCCAGCTTAGGAAAGGAGTGACTATGATTGTTGCTGTTCATCTTTGTTGTCTATGTGGCTCCTTAGAACAGAGCCTGAGAGGGACGTTGGGTGTCTGTGACTTATGGCAGGTACAGTCTCAGGAGCAGGAGGTGAGGAATGGGAGGCAGAAGAAGCTGAGGGAGGATATGCTTTGTGCCAACTGAGCTTCAGCGAGCTCCCACAGTAACCCCCAAGTGCGCATTATCCTCACAGAATTGTCTCTGCCTTGAGACAAGGGGCTGGACATCAGTCATTTCCAGGTTACATGGACATGTCCTTATGGCCATGACAATATGGATGGAAGTACTTTTGACATCAAAAGATGGAGGTAGAGGACTTTAGCATTTCCAGGTTGTACGATAGCTGATAATACTGTGCTAAGAAGCATTTATATTTTAGCAAGGTACTTTTTTGTGTGTGAACATTATTCATTTGATCATTATCATCACGATGACCTTTTGAGGTAGGTGACAAGTTTAATTATCTCTGTTTCATGGGGAGAGTTCAGGGTTATGATTGTAGAACTCGAATGTGATAAACTGGACATAGAGTTTACTTCTTAGTTAAGACTGAGTGGTCCTTCAAGTTCAGTACGCTGTCTGGTGAGATGGATGCCACAAAGGACTTGAGTACCTATCTAGTGTGACTAGCTGTCCCCATTTGCTTGGGACTTTCTGGATTTACAGCTGTAAACCCCACTTTGAGGGTAACTGGAGACTGACTAGGCCCAGTGCCTAAGGTCTGCAATGCTCCTAAAATTCTCGTGTGTTCTCATTTTAATTTCTTTTAGTTCTCATTTTAATTTCTTTTAAGAAGCGGATAAAAGCATGAACACAAATACTACAGCCAGTCACAATTGTGTTTATGCTACCATAGTCTTTAAGGATCCGTTTTCATTTATTTTATTTATTTATTTATTTATTTATTAGTTTTTGAGACAGGGTTTTTCCGTGGCTTTGGAGCCTGTCCTGGAACTACCTTTGTAGACCAGCCTGACCTCGAACTCACAGACACCCACCTGCCTCTGCCTCCCGAGTGCTGGGATTAACATTTATTTCTTATGTGAGTCTGTGTATGCTTGCCCACATGTGTGGAGGCCAGAAGACAACCAATGGGAGTCAGTTCTCTCCTTCCACCCATTTGAGTACAGATTATGTGGATTAAATTCGGGTTACGGGCTTGGTGACAGTTGCCTTTACCTGCTGAGAAATTGTGCTGGCTCCTATCAAATACAGTTTTTTTTTTTTAACACATGTAAATATAAGAAGGGGCTATGAACAGCTTCTGGGAAATGGCATCAGTTGCAGAAGAACTGAGATTGGGTTGTATTAAGCTGTTCAGACTTTAATAATGGTGGCTGGCCAAGGCTAGGGACCCTGGAGATTCCCCATGGGATGGTTGTTTAGAATCTCCAGGGCTTCCCTAGATCTGTGCACCCTGCTACTTCCCTTCTCATGGCCACCAGTTGCCTGGGTTTACTTTGATTTTCCTAGAAGGGATCAGTAAGTCCGTCTTACGGCCTTCTTCCCCTCTGCCATTCTGTCCATCTACCATGACCAAACACTTGTCTGACATCGTGCTTGCTTCTTCTATTGGTATCTCAGGGACAGGCTCAATGCAGGTACTCAGTGCACACTCATGGATTGATCAATGAATCAATCGAAAACTGGATTGATTTAATTGCGTGTTTTATAGCCCTGGGGATGTGAAACACTCTGGGCCTCATTTTTTCCGTGTATAAAATAAGTAAAATAAGTTCCTTGGAACAGTTATAGCCTCAAATTCTCGGAAGGCGCTTTATGTAGCATTTGTTATATTTGCAGGCTTTGCCACCATCACTGAAAAATATATCTTAGCAATTCAATTGCTCCTTGAAGGTTCTTAATGTCATCACTGTGTTTTTCTCTCATCCCCATTTTTATTTTAGATCCTCACTGCAATCCAGCATGTCGGATTTTTCCTCAAGAAAAAAGTCTCCCACTGGAAATGGTAATGCAGATAATGTTTACTAAAATAGTAGTAAAAAACCTTTAAGATATAAGACAAGCAACTAGTAGATCATAAGTTTTTACTTTAGATGTGCATTGTTTACAATGGCCTCATTATATTAGCTTTGCCTAAGTTAGGCTTTTTTTTTTTTTTTTTTTAAAGTAAGAATTGAGATGGGGAAGAGAATGTGATGTAAACATAGTACTCATTTTTGAAATTCTTTAAAATATTAAAATACGTGTTTAAAATGCTATAGTTTTCATTTGTGCCACTGTAATTTAAAAAACTTAAAAATCAACACAAAAGTCTTTTGGTGCCCTGGTGCCTGTGAGATGTGTCATCAAGTGCACCCGAGTCACAGTGTCTTTCTAAGGCACATTTCTATTGGGCAGAATGGCTGGCCACTAAGCCCTACTTGGGTTTGTCTCAGCCTAACGATCCTGCAATCTCTGGGCCTCAGACGGGGCCTCCTGAGCTGCTCTGGAGGTTTCAGTTGGCACCTGAGCAGTTTTATTTGTTATCTTTGCTGATGGGGTGTGGGATTTGTTCTTTCTTGCTGGGGCACCCTGCTACTAGACTTGCCGGTGCAGAGGAGGCCAACAAGATGCTGCTCTCAAGACCTTCTGGTGAACGCCCCACATTGTGCTTCTCTGAACCGCGGCTGTTGTATTTCTCTTCATAGATACGAAGCGCACCCAGGGGGCGCCACTGAGACAGCAGGGTTTTCATGATGTGAACAAAAGAAGGGCTTTCTTACAGGATAACAGCTGGATAAAGAAACGCCCCGAGGAGGAAAAGTAAGCGTGGAGGGGGAGGAGCGGTGGCTGGATGATAGGGCCATCTAAAAAGCACTTGACTGCATAGTCTCATTTTTGAACGATTTGGTGAACATGAATCAGTGGTACCACATTCTTAAGAAAACCTGCACATATAAAATAATGTGAGCTATTACAGAGGGGAGCACGACTATCACCTGGAATAGGTGTCTGCTCACCCTTTGTGCGCTGGAAAGAAAGCAAGACATCCCAGTTCCCCAAAAGGCAGCGGTTAATCCCCTCTATGTTGTATTGATCGTGCCAGTAACTTTTCAGATTTACAAGTGTATCTTCTTATTGGCCACTCAGCTTTTCGTTAAACCAATCAGAGTGACACACATTCACAGTGTACGAAAAGATTATTGCACAACAGATTTATGATAGGTGTGCATATAACCCAGGTCCATCTTTATCATTAATTAGTTATGAATTATAAATGATGCATAGCCATGGATACAGTTTGTAATTTCTTTATGTGTTAAGCTTTGTGTTTGGTATCTGGTTTATGAAGCATCACAAGGTCTTATAAACATATGAGGTAGGTATTGTAATCTTATTTTATAGGAGAGAAATCTACAGCTCTGGGAAGCTATGTCATTTGTCCAAATGGCACACAGTGGAATTGATATTTTAATATGATCCATTGTCTTTCCATTATGCCAGTTTTTTTTTTTTTAAAGAAATACATATTTGCTTTAACTTGTGTCAAACAAGTAAACCTTCTTGTACCTTGTGAATAGCACCATGGTTATGAGTCTAGCCCGTGTTACCAAACCACTTTACAATTTAAAGTCAACAGGTGGTCAAATGCCTTAACATCTACCTGTGATCCTTACATACAAATCAGACTGAAAAATTAAGCCTGCACATTATTCCAGTCTTTTAATCAGAGGCAATCTTACCTCAGGGGATATTTGGCAGTGTTGGGAGGTGCTTTTTGGTCACCAAATTGGGAAATAACCCTAACACTTAGTGAGAAGAAGTCCAAAGTATTGTTAAACATCCTGAAGTGTGAGGGATAGACCTCACAGCCAAAACTCTCAAACACACTGTGTGTTAGCAGCCCTAAGTTGAGAGACTGCATCTAACTTTTACACACTATCCAAACATGCTTATTTGAGGAACATACTTATGACAGGCAATAAGTAGTAAAAGCATCTGTTGCCTTCTGTTATTGTATCTTATTAAGGACTGTTAGTGATGTGCAGAGACTCAATCACTGTTAGACTGAGCACTGTTGGACCACAATCTCTCCTTCCCACAAATCTGCACTTAGTTCTTCTGTGAGAGTACTTCTCCTTTTCTGTAGTGGCCATGTCATAACAAATGTAAGTAATAAAGTTTGGCTTCCAAGCATTTATGCAGAGGGGTGAAGGTAGAGATGCCTGCAATAAATCATGGTAGGTAGGAATGTTGATTCTATGCCAAGTGAGCCTCCTAATCAGGCCCAGGGAAGCTAGCTTGGATGGCATGGTAGCTGCAGAGTGAAGGGGAAATTGGCTCTGGTACTTTTCTAGCTCCCACTGGCCTGGTTCTGGGCTGTGTGCTGTGGTTTGTTTTCAGGTGAGAACGTGCCCGGTACCTGCTCTGCTTTCTTGAATCTTGCAGAATGGCAGGAAAGAGGGGACTTTCCCTCCACAGCCTGCTGAGGGTGTATGCTTTGCTATTTTGTTTCAGTCTCTCTGCTCACCTTTCTTTTTAATTATCGGCTCCAGTTTCCTTTATAGCTTTATTAAACATAGTTTCAGAATGTTGGGTAACATTAATGGTAATGCTCAAGCAGAGAAATGTGGTGTTTCAGGTTTGGGGGGTTGGCGGGAAGGAGATGAGGCACTTGTCCTCTGCTGGCTTTCAAGGCTACTTCCTAATGTTGCTTGCACTTCCGTGTCCACTCTATAAAGTAGGAAGGGCATAGCTTTGGCAACTCATGTATAAAATTCTGCTGAAGGGTTGACTGTAAAGAGTATAGAGGACAGGAAACAAGGATCTGTCCTAAGCCACCGTTGTCACTTGGTAACCATGTGATTTTAGGAAAGCCACAAAATCTCTGACGAATGACCTCATCTGACTAGTATAGGCAATGTCTTCCCCTTCTCATTCAGAAGTCATTTTAAGGCACATGCGTTCCCATGGTCCCCAAAGTGGGCTTTGTCTCCTGCAAGTGACTAATCTCCCCCATTTGAAACATTAGTACTTGTTCCCCTATATTTGGTCAAGGTAAATGCTCAAATCCATCAAAATGTGCAGGCATAACAGGCTTTAATTAAACCTGAAGAACGTTTGTAGAATTCTTCTGTCCTTTCTTCTTGTGGGAAAGAGCCAATACACACAAAGTCCATGGCCTTATGTTCCCATACTCTGGTTAAAAAGAAAGAAAGCAATCACAACAAACAAGGCACTGACTCATTGTTGAATCATGAGGAAATCTCATGGGACAAATGGCCTTTTGTACTGTCAAACTTGTTTCGCTCCACTCTACTCCTGCAAGTTGTGACTGGTTAATTTAGATTTATGCTGTACTCTTAGGCACGGAGTAAAATAAATTAGCCTTGCCTGAAGTTGTACACTCTCTTCCTGTCTCTCTTATTTAGTGCTTAGCAAACATTATGGTAACTTTTGATGTAACTTAATTTGGGTCTTTCTCTGCAGAGATGAAAATTATGGCAGGGTGGTGCTCAACCGGCATAACTCCCACGATGCACTGGACAGGTGAGCATCTCTAACTAACAATTACATCACTTAAAACAAAAATGGAGGTTCAGAGAGAAAACCTACTCAAGCCCGATGAGTACTTGTAGCGAGCCTTGGGCTTTCTTCAACACATACACGTGCAAAAACGGTACCTGGCATATTATTAGGGCTTTGTTCCAGAAAATTGCACTGGGTCAGCTCCCAGAACTATGGCCTGCAGGAGGCTCATAAATCAACTTATCCCACTGCACTGGCAGGGAGAGAAATGGCTCTCATAAGAACATGCCCAGAGAAGACATCTTTGATATGTAGGGAAAGGAAGCCAAAACTACAGAAGCAGCTTCAGAGCTCATATGCTATGTGGGGCGACACAGTTCTTTGATGAAAGCCATAGGCTTGTGGCAAAACACTGACTTATCCGTGTTAGTAAGTAGACTGACAGGTATGGATCAATAGTAACATTCAGATAAAACGAGGAGTCACAGTGATGTGAACAATCTCAGATCCATCAGGCAGATAATATTCTCATGGGTGCAGGCTTGCGCTCACAGGTTTAGGGACAGCCACACCTGTTAGAAGAACCTAAATATTCATCGCAGTCAAGTTTCATCGGGTGCAGTGGCTTGTATTTGTGCCCCAGTAAGAAGTCATTGGTAAGGGAGTGTGGATTAAAAATAAAATAACTAAGTATACACCTTGATAAGTATCCTTTCTTGAATCTTATAAGTGTGAATTTCTGTTAACCATTTCAAACCTTTTCACAAATTTGACCTGTTCTAAAGGTACCTAACTTACCAGCTTTCAGCTCAACTGCTGGTCTTAATTGTTTTTAAAGTTAGTATAAAAATAATAGGTTTCATTGTGACAATTTTTAGACATATGCCACATACTTGGTTCTATTTTGTTCCTTGCCCCCACTTTCTGATTTACCATCTTTGAAAGTACTTTAAAACAATTCTATTTTATAAAATAAAATATTGATCCATCAGTATGATAACCAATTTTCCAATGGAGTTTTTTTTTTTCTGAAGGAATTTTAATTTAATGTCCTATGGTCTAGGGAGTCACCCTTTGTGATTTCACCTTACACTTCATTATTTTGGGGATTGGCATCTGGTTTACAGTGGGCCCTTGTTTCACCAAGCAAAGAGAAACTGATTATTTGAGCCCAGCAACCAATGGAAATTGTTCCATGCAGTTAAATAGCGTTTGTCTGGAACACTGGAAAACACACATTCCCATTTTAAATTGTGGCAGTGAGAACCAAGCTTTGTCTTCTCAGCATATCTACCATGCACCTTAGGACCTTGATGCTACCTATGCTAACTTTACATTTAAAATCATATGTTTCCTGAACTCTTCTTCTTGCATTTTGGCTAAAGTAGTACACCAAACTTTTATCACTAGTAACAGGGTTTTGTGAACCTAGAGATGACCCATAACTAATATCATAGAATAAGTCTCCATAAGGAATACCACAGACTCTCCTGGTACTGGCCCAAATGATGCTGCTTGTCACTTCCGGACTCAGCCCCAAGTGGTGGTCACTTAGCCACCTTGGAGCATCTGCTGGGTTCTGGGAGCCCAAGGAAGCATGGGCAACCTCAGACAGTATGAAGCTCTTACATTCATGGAAAAGATCATGAGCCACAGTACTGTGGTTTACCATAAAGAATAGCTATGAAACAGATATATGACAGAGTCATGGAAACAGAGAACAGGGAGAGATTTCTTTGGCCTGTATGATCCCAAACCCCACCAAGGAAGTGGTCTTTGGTGGATGTCACTGCCTACAGAATGAGGAGGAAGCTTTGAAGTGAGGCCAGTTGACTGGCATAGGGGCGGGGTTTCCAGCAGAGGAGACAGTGTGTAGAAAAAGCTGGAACAGCTGAGCTAACATGGCCCCATCATCTGAAACTAGAAAATCTCACTGTGTAGTTCCTCAGACAGATCATGAAATCATGCCAGTCAGGTTAATATCATCCACGGAATATCCGTGGAGCCAGACATCGAGCTGAGAACTGGATACATGACAACTCCCGATTCCACTCAATCTGCATCCCTGTTGAAGGTTGGGGAGAAGAGAAAATGAAAGTAAATAATGGATAGCGCTCTAATTCCCCACAGTCCATTGGTCACAGAACTTCAGGAAGCATTACTCTTATGCTAAAAGCTAGGAAGAACAAAGCCAACCACAATCTAAAGTGATGGTGTTTGTGGATGGGCTGGCTGTTGTTGTAAGATTGTTTATGTTTTTGCTCTGTGTATTTTCCTGTTTGTTTTGAAATATTGAGAGCAGAATCCATAACTTTTCACATAATAGGCAGCACTCTGTCATTTTGCAACAAACCATTCAAAGAGGGCCTTCTTATGACTTCATGCCTTCTTCGCTTGGAAGTTGTCTTCAGAATTTGAGAAATGTAGTAGAGTTTCCTTTCCTTTGCTTTTGCCTTCACTGCACTGTTTAATCAGCCTGTCTGTAAACGCTCATATCTGTTTATCTTTTTGAACCTTATCAGGAAATCCTCTGGCTCTTCTATTTAAAAGTCAGTTTCCTCAAGATATTACTTCCTTGAATTTTGCCCAAATTTCTTTTACCACATCATGCACTTTTGCCTTGGGATATATGTCTGTAATTTGTCCCTCTAGTCCTTAGTGGGGAAACAAGATGCATTTTTAGTTAGCAAAATGTGTTGTATATTGCCTACATCCAATTAAAAGAATTATATACTACTTTGAGTTTAAAAATTAAACTAAGAAGCACAAACACAATAAATCACACCATGATTTCTCAGAAAGCTTGCTCTGTGTGGATCATAAGACTCTGAGAAGCATTAAGCTTGCTTCTGTTTGGTCCATTGGGTGAAAGTATTTTTAGCTTTCATCTTGCTTGGTCATGTTTCTCGATGTTGAGCCTCCTCTCTTTATTTTCTTCTCCTCCATTGTTCCTGCTTTTTCTTTCCTTTTGTTCCTCTCCTAACTTCTGTCATCGCTCTTCCTTTTACACATTCATCATTTCATCTTTCACTCTCTCTTTTCCATTCCTTTCTGGGTTTTCTGTTCCTTCTCTGCTTGTTCTGCTACAAGTGTTTGGCTTTTGTGCCTGTCCATGGTGCTGAATGTTAAATAAAGCTTTGTAGGAGTTGGTTCCCTAAGAGGGCTTAGAGCATCTAATAAAACAGGGCAAAGCACACATGATGATCAGATCCTCCAGCTCAGAAGAGCATACACTGGTTATTACTGTCCTATTTCCTGAGCTTCAGTGTGAGCATGTTACATTTCACTACGGGAGGATGCTACATGCCTGCACTTTGTGAGACCACGGAGAAATCATTGGAACCAGTGACGTGTCATGTGTCAGCAGCAGGAACTGAGTTTGACCTAATTTATTTTATCCAAGGCAAAATGTGGAAGACATGTGTATGCCATCTTTGTATTTCCTTGCTAACATGTACCTTTCCTAGTTAAGTGGGTCACTATTTTGTCAAATTTATGGTAGGTTTTGTGAGCTAATTTTATCTCTTGGTAACTATGTTTGCTATAGGAAAATACCTGAGAGAGAGGAGCGGAAAGCCACGATTAGCCGGTACAGATCTGATGACACACTGGACAGGTGAGGTGCTTGGGAACCATGTCAGTGCTTTTAACCCATTGTGTGCTAACATCAAGTCCCATTCCTAAGACACAGGGAGGGTGGGAATGTTTACTGGTGTTATTTTACCTCAAGGGAGGAAAAGTCCCAGAACACCGAATTCTCTCCTCAACTCACTGCATCTTAGCTAGATATAGTCTTTTCCCAGAGGGAACAGTGGATTTATTTATAAGTTGTGATTTTAGTGAGAGTATTGAGTATGGGTAGGATAGGCCCTGCATGGAATCTGTTAGTTAAATTTTAACTGAGGAATACCAGCCCTTACTATCCGGTCTTGGGTTCTTCAACTATAATGGTGGAGAGGCAGCAGTTCCTAGGAAACTACTTGTAAATATAAGCAGTGTTGCTAGAAACATGATCTGTGCTAAAGGAGTTTAAATAATATGTGGCATCAAAAATAAAGATCTTAGCTAGTGTGGAGATTAATTTTAATAGACTATGTTAGGGCGCCCCCTAGTGTTCTATTGTGGATTTAAAGCTTTCCCTTGGATCTTTTTTGTTTGTTTGTTTTTAATCATTTCTTTGAAGTAAAAATGTTATCTACAGCCTGTTTTGATGATATTCTCCCCCCATCCACACCCAGGTCTCACCATTCCACATTAGCTTCTGCATTAGTTACTTTTTTTTTATTGCTTTGATGAAGCTCCATGACCAAGGTGGCTTATAAAAGAGCATTTAATTGGTTTCTGGTTTCAAAGGCTTAGAGTCCATGATGGCAGGTGAAGCTGAGAGCTCACATTTTGATCACAGCCATGAGGCAGAAGAAGGGAGAGCACATTGGGAATGGTGCTCACCCCTGGTGACGCCACACCTCCGAATCCTTCCCAAACAGGTCATCAACCGGGGACCAAGTATTCAAACATGAGCCTATGGGGACATTCTCATCAGGCCACCACCCTCACTCAACCTCTCGTCCTCCTTTGTTTTTTCCTATCAAAACTAATTTGTGCTGATATGGGCTCTTCCACCGGAGTGTGGTCAACGTCTCAGGGGGTACAGTTTTAGAGAAAACCACCTCTCTCTTCGAGATAACAATTGCCAAGGAACTTCCTGCCCAGCTCCCACCTTAAGGTGCTGGGGTTTGGACTGGAGTGGGCTTGCACAGGCTGTGTGCATATGGTCATGACTGCTGCGAGTGTGTATTCACCTGCCCCACTGTGTCCAGAACACACTGTTTCCTTGTATCCGCCCACGGCTTCTGTATCTTACACTCTTTCTGGCTCCTCTTCTGCAGTGAGGTCCCTGAGCTTTGAGAGGAGGGACTGTGGTACAGGTGTGAACATTTGGGGCTGAATATTCTGCAGTGTCTTATTCCCTACATGTCAGCTGGTTGTGGGTCTCTGTGTTAATCATCGTTTACTACAGTTGTGAGTCAATGTGTCAATCCCAGCCTACTGAAAATAGAAGCTTCTCAGATGCATTCATGTTTGGTTATAGTGATTAGGAGCTAATTTAATAATATGTCCATTTAACAGAATAATAGCAGTAGGTTCTCTCCTACGGCCTAACCTCAGTAGACTAATTTGTCAAGATAGAGTGTTTTTAGTCCATCCTCCCTTCTCCCCAAATCTAAATGATTTAACACAATGGATCATTGCTTGACTCGTGACAGCCTAGTGTCCAGAGTGACTCAGGCACTCTCTGAAATGCTTTCCATGTTTTAATGTTATCATCTTCAGCCCATGGGCAGCAAAACTATAGCAGGAGGGGAAGGATGAGCATAAAATGTATGCAGGGAATTTTACGGTGAGTCTGGGCTGGGTAACAACATCTCTAGCTACACTCTTTAGAACCCAGTTGAGTGGTTCCAACTTTATGACCATTTAAGTTTGTAAATGTGGCTTCTGTGTGCTCAGGACAAAAAGAAATTAGTTTGGCAGACACAAGGCCATATGTATGCTACAGAATTTTTAAAAAGATGACTGAAGTATTTCACTGATGCCTTTTTACCAATGTAGGACGTATTCTCATTGAACTACAAAAATATGAAAAATAGTAAATGAGTTAAGATCTCTATGAGTTGGGAAGGTGAACAACAATAGCCTCATCAGTCAACTTTTACTTTCCAGTATTGTAACATGTAACACAGAAAAGTTCTCTCTCTTTTTTTCCCCTGGTTTACTTTTTTTATGATAATATTTTTTAAAGTTAAATTTGAAACAAGCTTGTTTTACATGGCAATCCCAGTTCCCTCACCCTCCCCTCCTCCCCTGCCCCCACCCAACCCGATCCCATCCCCTTTCCACTGCCCAGGGAGGGTGAGGCCCTCCATGAGGGATCCTCAAAGTCTTTCATATCATTTGGAGCAGGGCCCAGGCCCTCCCCCGTGTGTCTAGGCTGAGAGAGTATTCCCCTTCCAGAAAAGTTCTCTTTACAAAAAAGGCAATTAACTATAAAATTGTTGAGACAGAAAAGAGACTTGGAAGAAGTTTGATAAGCTAAATGTTTATGCAAACTTCTGTGTTGTGTGTCAGCGTCAGATGGACATGCTTACCCTGAAACAGTTAATGCCCCAAGCTCGGGTGACCAACTAACCAATAGGCACAGCACTCATGGACTTCAGAAAAGGCTCAATATAATCCTTTCTAAGTGTTACTTATTTACTTTTTACTTTTTGTTTTTTTTCCAGACAGGGTTTCTCTGTGTAGCTTTGGAGCCTGTCCTGGAACTCACTCTGTAGACTAGGCTGGCCTCGAACTCACAGAGCTCTGCCTGCCTCTGCCTTCCAAGTGCTGGGATTAAAAGTGTGCACCACCAATGCCTGGCTTGTGTTACTTATTTTTTTACCTAACAACTTTCAGTCATGTTTAATATCTTTATGTAAATTTTTAGCCTCTATATATTAAAACATACATAGTTAATTCATTGAAAAAAATTCATATATGCACACAATACATTTTGATCATATTCACTGCCATGCCTCCCTCTAACTCCTCCTAGATCTTCTTCCTGTCCCCAATGTCTGCTTTCACATTTCCTCCTTGTTTTAATTTTGTGCTCATGGGTGTTTTGCCTACATGTATATCTGTGTACCATGTGCAGGCCTTGGTGTTGGGAGGAGACCAGAAGAGAGTGAGAGCTGCCGTGTGTGTCTTGGGAATTGAACCTAGGCCCCTGGAAGAGCGGTCAGAGCTCTTCACTGCTGAACCGTCTGTCTAGCTCCCACCCCTACGCTGCGTGGTTATTGCTCCTTTGTACAGCCCAAGTGAAATCTGTGCTGCCTGTGTAGTTATTTGTGTGCCATCATCCCCGGGAGCATTGCCAACCCACCAGGGACAGCACTCTCAAAGACAGCACCCTAACCCATCAGAGTAACATGGCGGACAACCAACGCTTTCTCATCCTCGACTTTCTAGAAGCCACTAACTGTTACTGCCTCTTTGGTTAGGGGCGGGGCTTAGATCCCGTATTCGCTACCTTCTGCAATGTTGACTGGTTGATGTGGTGCAAGCCTTGTGCAGGCCACATTACCCGTCATAGTTTTAGTATACATTTCTTAAGTAAAACCTTTGATTTTGCTCATGGCAGAATAAGATGTTGCCCGGCTTCCAAACCCGGAGGCTCCGTTGCTGAGGCCCTCATTCTTACCTCATCTGTGTCTCTGTTAAGGCGCTCTGGTGGTAAGATTAGGAATTTTACATTTGAAATGATCAAATCTAACATCTCAAGACATCGGACTTTAATAATAATAATGACTTTTCTGAAGAAATAGAGTATCTTGGGAGTTAGTACAGGAGATTTTAAACACCATGAAAGCACCTCACAAAATTTATTCAACTAGTGCCGCTATTTCTCCCTCTCAACTCACCTCTAGTTTTTCCTAGTTTTTTAATTATTGGACAAGCACAGGGAAAGGAAGAACTAACTAGGGTTTCACTGTTGCTGAAACTGTGCCATCGTTTCTTCTTTCAGAACACTGTCTGTGTTGAGGACCCAAGAATCAACCAGGACGTAAGTATTCTCCTAACGGACGTGTGTTTCCTTGATCAAGGCCGTGGGTTCTTGGGGGCTTCCTTAGCACCAGGTTTCTCCCTAAGCCCATAGAGACTCTCTCTATTAAGATGTCTAGGCCCCTCCATATGTGGGAGACAGTTGTGAACCCTGGACTAGCTGAGGGGCCCCTGGCAGTAGGACCACGATACAAACCTGGTACATGAACTAGCTTGTTGAGCCCACTCCCCGTGGTGGGACGCCATGCTCAGTGTTAACGCATGGGAGAGGGGCCTGGCCCTGCCCCAACCTATTGTGCCAGACTATGTTCACACCTCATGGGAGCCCTTCCCTGTGAGGAGGGGTGGACTGTGGGTGGGCCTGAGGCAGGCGAGGGAGGTAGGAGGGAGAACTGGGGTTGGAATCTAAAATAGGATATATACATGTGTGTGTATACACACACACACACACACACACACACACACACATATGTAGATATCTACATATGTGTGTGTGTGTGTCCTATTGAAGCTTCCAGCCCTCAGGCCAAAGTGTCACTGGAATCCAAGTAGGCCCTGTGGTGTTGGCAGAGCTGATGGCAAGAGGAGAAAAACTAAAATAGGCTTCAAAGGATGAAGGACTTGTGCTGAAAAAGCTTACCTATCATTACTCTAAAAAAAAAAAAAAATCACTCAAGTTTAGATCAATGCCTTCAGTCTTATATTTAAAAATGGGCTCAGAGGTTAAGAGCCCTGGCTGATCTTTCAGAGGACCCAGCTTTGATTCCTAGCATCCAAATGGCAGCTCACAACCCTCTGTAACTCCAGTTCCGGGGGTCTAATGACATCTTCTGGCCTCCTCTTGCACCATGAGTGCAAGTGTTGCACAGAAATGCATGCAGGCCAAACACCCGTACACATAAAAACAATGGCCTGATTTCCCGTTTCTCAGGCAACCAACTTTCCCTCATCCTGTACCTCTCCTTGGTCCCCAGTGCCCCTCATATCAGTGTGTCCCCTCAGTGCAATCTCAGGGAGTCATTAAACCACAAATTTATGAAATGTCTGTTCCCTGGCATATGGGATGAACTTTAACTTAGTCACCTTTAAAACTGTATTTATGGATAAAATGCGTTTCATGCTGGATCCCAGTCTTAATGTGGAAAACACGCCCTGGGTCATTGCTATTTTTTGCAGATGTGAACATATGCCAAAATGGAGAATAAATGCCAAATGGAGATTACCAATGTGTATCTTTCAATTTTTTCTTAAGATATTTCTAATGCAAAAAAGCCAGAATAACTCTTGTCAGTCACAACAAAATACTGAAATTAAGAGAACACTAGTACACTAATCTATAACATGTCACAACTGTTTAGCCTGAACTTCACACGGTTAACACCAGGTGCTAAACAGCCAGTTGCTTTTTCATGTTTTAACCAGCTATGTAAGCCTGATAGTGTACGGGACAGGTAAACTAAGAGGGTTCTTTTCTTCTTTACTGCTTTCCACCCTCAAGTGAAATGTTTTATTGTAGATATGGCTGGGATATGAGTCAATGGTATTTCAAAGGCGGGGGTGGGGGGTGGTGGTGAAGACGATAGAGGAAGGCAATGACCTGTTGTACCCATTAAACAGGCCCCTGGGCGGCTCCTTTAATGCAAACACTCCCGTGACGGCCCCCACGCCTGCTACCACCCCTGTGAAGAAAAAGAGGTAAGATGGGCACCCGGTATCCGCCTCTGGCTGTGCTGTACTCCAGGCTCCTCTAGATGATGTTGGTGGTGAGCTTAGGTGTTAAGAGCTATGCTACTTCAAGCAGCCTTCCGTACAGTTGCACTCCAGGGCGTGGCTTAACTTGAGATGACCATTGGTGAATAACCAATAACCATGCACCCATAGCATCCTCCCTGGCTCTTTACGCTTAGGCTAATTTACATTAAAGCAGAGTCAAGACCCTTTCTGGGGACCTTGTGTTTTATTTGCTCTTTTAGACAATTTCTCTGTTTTCATCGTGTGTGTGTGTGTGTGTGTGTGTGTGTGTATACACACACATAAATGGTTTTTATGTGACTCATAAAACAGAAATTACTAACTCAAAGGACTCTAAGCTAATATATTCCAGATAAATGGGAAGGAAACGGAGTGCAGAAAGAAATATTCTCAACAGACAATCACACATATGAGAAAATACGTTGTTTGTTTGTTTCGCTTAAATGAGGAGTTTATTTAGAAAGGAAGTGAGGGAGAAGGGAAGAGACATAGAGGCACCGGGAACAGAAGAGGAGAGGGGGACAGAGAGGTGGGGAGAGGAGAAGAGGGGGGTAGCTGGTGGCCAACCGAAAGCAGGAGAAAGAGAGAGAGCAAACGAGCCGAAATTAGTTTTTTTTTAAAAGCCAAAATGAACACAATCAAATACACCAGCGTTTACTCCAGTACAAGAGCTGAGCTGTGAAAAACAATCTGAGGTACCCAACGATGGAGGAGATGAAGAAAGTGTGGTATATAACACAACAAGACTTTTTAGCATACAGTTATGCCTAGGTTGAAGTTATATCAACTGGCGAAACTTGTATTAAGCAACTCAAATCATTTCACTTCAGAATATTGGCCGGGACGCTGGGTCTCCTTAGCCTCATAGTCCCTGGCCCACGTAACTACCCTTAATTCCTTTTATTGTAGCCTTCTCAACAGGGATCTTGGCTACAGCTAAATGAGATTATATCCTTGCACTATAAGGTCTTGTTTCTAGCAGATGTGGAAGCCGAGGTCAGCACTGCTGTGTTGTTCATGTCTGTCTTAATATCCTTGTCAGGGTGTTCTGTCTTACAGTTTGAACATGATATTTTAACTGGAGAATAAAGGTGTTGTTTCCATTGTGAACTAGATCAGGAAGGTTAAAAAAAGGAGGGAGGCTAACGTGGTGAACACACACAAACCTGCCATCTAGACCAGACAGTTAGTATTCTTTCCCAGCTTTTCACTTTTCCAGGAAATGTCCACATTGTTTGGTGTCAAAGGAAATGAAAAAAAGCAGTACACTTGGGGGGGGGGGGAGAGCCTGAAGTACAAGATCCCTTCCTCATACTCCATTTATGAAATGCCGCTCGTTTTATTTCCAAGGCTTCCTGTCAAAATTATCTTGTTGCCTTTTTAGCTATCAGCTGACCCCTCACCCCCAGATGGGTGGGATCAGCCGTTCGAACGCTAAGCTTATGACGGGTGTTATTTCTTAACAGACAGTCCTGGTTCCCACCACCCCCTCCTGGCCACAATGCCTCTCCAAACACAGGAGCAAGCAGAAGGTAAGGGCCGGTGTCAGATGTAACTGCTGTGCCACTGATGGAATGCTGTATTAGTCATTGGCAGCATGTCATTGTGGATGTTTCTGAATAAGTCGGTGGCAGTTTTGTGAACTCTGAAGGAGACAGTGCCCGGTGGGAGTGGGCTCAGGTTTATCAGTGCCTTTGTGATAAGCTGTGAGAATCGAGGAGGTGTCCATATTAATTTGCAATGTTTTCCGTGACAAAGTGCTACAAATACAGTGACATAAACAGTGCAAATGTGTTGTCTCACTGTGAAAGACCCCAATGGGAGCAGGATTGGCTCCTCCTGAGGGCTGTGACAGAATCCTGCTCTCCCGCATAGCTGCTGGCTTCCTGGCAGTAGTTGACATTCCCTAGCCTGAGCAGACATCCTTCTGTGTGTGCCATTCCCATGCAGCCTTCATCTTCACGTGGCATCTTTCCTGTGCATATAGCTGAGTCCACATTTCTCTTTCTTTTAAGACCATCAGACCTATTAGGTTAGGACTCCATCTTATTCCAGTGTGACCTCATACTAACGTACAATACCTGAAAAGACCCTGCTCCCAAAATCATGCCACATTCTCAGTCAAGGCTTCCACACGGGGATTTCAGGGGACAGGGAGAGAACGGAGCCAAATTTCAAACATGGTCTCCATTGTGAGGCCACCTGCTTCCAGGCTGTGATGAGCCTAGCTGACCAGCCAGGGTATGAATGGCAAGTTCCTTGTAAACGTGAAGTGACAAATGAGTGTTTTCCATTCATTTATTGTTTTGGGGAAGAAATGTAATTAAAATTGTAGACTTTGTGAAGGGTCCCTTATTCTACAGTTGCCCTGCATGGCTTATCAACAAGGAAGGATTCAGTAGTCAGTCCTGTATCAAATAGTCTGGGTTGTTGGGCTCTCTCAGAAAACAGAACATGGAGCCTGTGTTTTGGTTCTTAGAGACAGCGTCTTCTACAAGTGTTGAAATCCCGTAGTGTCACCACTAACACAGGAGGGGGAGGTCAGATATCCAACATTTTTTCATGCCAGAAGCCGAGAATATCTTCGCCAAAATATTTCCACATCTCAGTGGGATTTTTGTCCTGCTTACAACTACGAAACTGTATGTGTGTGTAATGTAATTTTGGCATATTTTCTAAATGTTCATCTGCCACAGAGGCTCCCAATGTCTCTTTTTTTCCCCCAAATGATGGAAACATGTGGAAATAAACTATTCCCCCATATATAATATAATTTATTATAATCCAACTTTATAATATACTATATAACACATAATATATCAATTCAATGTACTAACATAATATTATAATTCAACTTTCATATAATTTAAGTTAGATCTGTAAAGACTCAAATCAACTTTAGTTGGTCAAAGAAATTAAGTTACTTTCCACATCCAACTCTGAATCTTTCTATATATTTATATATAGATATGGCATGTCAATCAAATTATAGAACATATTGAATAATCATAATTTAGAATAACATCCACTTTCTCTTAAAATGTTTTGTTTCTAAGCATACATATCTACAGGTGACTTCCAGTTATGTTAACTTCCAAGTGTGATTTTATTTCTAGTTTATAGCATCTTTTTTCCTCAGGGTATTACTAGATAATTGCTCTACAGATGACAGTATTCATAGAGCTATCCATATTTCCCTTTGTTGGTTAGAGTACTCCCACACCCCCAAGTATCAGGAGATCCATTCAATTTTTTCTTTTTTATGGTGTTTTGAGATAGGGTTTCTCTGTGTACCTTTGGAGCCTCTCCTGGCACTTGCTCTGTAGACCAGGCTGGCCTCAAACTCACGGAGATCCACCTGTGTCTGCCTCCCAAGTGCTGGGATTAAAGTCATGTGCCACCACCACCCAGCTTCAATTTTTTCTTTGATAGACAACAAACAAATGGTATTTTTGCTGGAAGTATAAACTAACTTTTTATGTTGACCCATTCTTCTTGCTCCTGATATTAATAGAAATTGTCATTGCAATGAACTTTGTAAAAAACGGGTAAGGGCTGGTCATGAGTCAAGTTCTCATGTATGCAAAGCCTGTTGAGATGGTATGGATGGGTTTGCTTGAAGCTGGCAGCCCTGGCTATCAGCCCTAACAATTCATCAACTTGCTAAACGTGCCTTACAGGGAAGATAGAATGAATAATAATGCTCCGTTGGAAAAAAACATCCGGCTTAGAACTAAGGAATGAGAAGTTGTTAGGTTTTGTTGATTAATGTAACTCTCTGCTCCCGTTATTTGCATACTGTCTAAACTGAAGGACTTCTCACTGAACATCAGGGAAAGAGGTGATATTGGCAGTGTCGCAAGGGTCTGAGTCTAAGGAGCTCTTCCTTGGAGTAGGGGCACAGTGTCTGCTTCTCATCTTTATATACCTATCCCAGGGTTGGTAGGTAGACTTTCTAATAAATACTGAAAAAAAATAGAAGCGATTATTAATGACAAAAGGGAGAGAACGCTATAAAAACAGGTCTCTGTTCCCAAAGGGACCAAAGTAAATGAGAATAGGTCATAGACAGACAAAACCGGGGGACTATGATTGTTAACGCCTTTGGAGCATAATGTTAAATTATTTCTCTTTATCTTTGGCTAGTGCCCTGGGGTCATTTCCCTTCTCTCTTCCCCCCTCCCTCCCCTCTTCTCTCAGAGAACTGACTTTCCCCTTACTGCTCCTCTCAATGCTGTCTGTTTATTGCACAGGTTTGCCTTCACGATGCAGTCTGTCCTTGACATGCTGCTTTATCTCTGACCCCAATGAATGCTCAAACAGACCTTAAGACTGCACCACCATTCCAAAGACAGCCTCTTCCCAATCATTTTTCCCTAGCCCTCTCTGCAACCTTTCACATCCTGCAACCTTTGCTTCCTGGTAATGTGCTAGTCAAGAAATCAAAATCAGTTGTGTTTGGATTGAAGGTTTGTTTAATGAAACAGAAATCGGAACAAAGGGTCTCGACCTGTCTTATTAACAAAGGGCATGATTTCATATTTTTATTGTCTATCTCTATCTTTACACATGGATGCTCATGCCTGTGACTGTAAATCTATCTGTATGTGCATACTAACTTTTATGTCTACATCTTTAACTATAGCTGTGTCTACATAGTTAAGTAAACAAGAGGCTATACTTTAAACAATTATGCACCAGTCTGAAAGCTCAGTTAAAATAAAGTTTTGTTTTAAATCACATTTGGCCTAGGTGCACGCCTTTAATCCCAGCATTTGGTAGGCAGAAGAAGGTGAATCTCCTTGAGTTTAAGGTCAGCCTGGTCTACATAGAGCATTCCAGACTAGCCAGGGCCACACACAGCAACAATAACAAGAACAAAACAAACTACCCTTCCCCACCAAAATCACATTTATAGCTAAACAAAAAAGTACTTGTCTCAAAAAAAAAAAAAAAAAAAAAACCCAACCAAACCAAAACAAAAAACAGCAGATAAACAAAAACAAACCCAAATCCCTCATATGTTCTAAGTTTTACATAGTCCTGTAACTTAAACATTTCCAATAGCTAAGTCTGGACTCCTTTCCTTAACTATGTGCAAAATTCCAAAACCCGATGATGAGCCAAATTGTAAACAATAAAGCAAAAACATTTTTTTACAGGAGAAAATGTGAATGGCACAAAAGCCAATTTTAATTTTTGAAACATCACCTTCAAATTTCTTTAAGGAAATCTCTTTAAGAGTCAAGAATAAAACTGGGTAAAAAATTTAATTTTGTTTGGCTTTACTCTTATTAAGGAAAAGGAATAAAAGATTCTCACATTTCAAAATAAACTGTGATAAATTGTTTGAATCACGTAGCTGTTGCTCATGACTTTGCTTTGGTTTCAATAATTTCCAAACAAAAATTTCTAAGACTCATAGAATAAAATTTTCTTAAACATGATAATTTTCTGTTCTATATACATTAGTCTTGAAATGAAGGGCTCGGCTATGAATAATTGAAGAAAGTAGAGGGCAAAATTGAAAGATGTAAAGGTTTTAATTCTATCTGGGATGAACGTTAGACAAATCCATAATAGTGGACGCTGCACATAAAATCCGCTTAAGCAAACCCATCTCCCTCTTCCAGCTGATCTCTGAGGTCACTCTACTTACCCACTTGTAAATGTTTTGAAACACAAATAACCAGCACAATGTTTTGAATTATCAAGATTTGTCAGCCGGTTTATATTCTCTGAAGTTTTATCTGATGCCACTAGTGCAAATATTTTCCTTTCATTTTTATCGAGACTGAATAAAATTTTTTAACTTTATTAGTTGTACTTTGTTACACCCATCTGTCTGTTCTCCTGCCCCTAGGATCAAGCCTCTGCTACACTGTTTTCCCTGTATTCAAATCTTTCATTTTAAAAATACAGTCTTTGACGTTTTCTGGGCAGGTTCCTCAGATCCACTTGGTTGGTATTCCTCTCTTTTGCACCCTGCATAAGATTTCCATCTGCATTTTGCTGTTTTCCATTATCTTCATCTCCTGGGAATGGCTCTTGCTTAGGTCATTGATGGCCTTGGGTTTGATCCCCCCTCCCTCCAGCTGCTGATCTAGCAGGTCCTGCAGAGGCTTGCCCTTTCACACTGCACAGCTAGACTAGACATTCCTTTAAACAATTCCTTGAGTCATCTTTTCTTCTCCGAGACCCTATACCAAATCTTTATGTATTGATGTTCCCAAAGCTCACAGCCGATGGCATGCTCTGACTTTCAGCATCAGTATCAATGCCGGGACACCAAAGGACACTTGTCCCTCCAGACTTGCAAGTTCAGCCCTTTTGCAACAAGACTACTTCAAGTCACAAACCCACATTGATAGCTTCTATCATTGACTCCCCTGTTCAAGATTAGTGTTGACCTAGGAAAAGTCGTCACTAGGTGGCAGTAGCACGCTGAGCTTAGTTTGGCTGGTGCTTTGAGCGGTTTGCCTGTTCAGAGCAGTGAGACTCTCTCAAAAGGCAATAAATAGCACATGGGTTA